CCTAAGCCCAAGAGCTGGAGGTTGCTGTGAGCTGTCCTGGCCCCAGCCAAACTGCAGCAACAACAAAAAAAAAAAAACCCAACCAGGTGTTGTGGCGGTGTGGCGGGCACCTATAGTCCCAGCTGCTTGGGAGACTGAGGCAGGAGAATTGCTTAAGCTTAGGAGCTGGAGGTTGCTGTGAGCTGTGACATCACAGCACTCTACCGAGGCCAAGCCTGAAGAGAGGTACAAGAAACAAATGGTTCTTCTAGAAGCTGCACTTTTAGGTGTTTTTTGTTTTCGTCATTAAAGTTTTTTTTTTTTAGACAGAGTTTTACTTTGTTGCCCTCGATAGAGTGCTTTAGGCAATTATCTTGCCTCAGCCTCCCAAGTAGCTGGGACTACATGTGCCTACCACAAGCCCAGCTACTTTTATTGTTGTTGCAGTTTGGCTGGGGCCGGTTAAAACCCGCCACCCTTGGTATATGGGGCCAGCGCCCTATTCACTGAGCCACAGGCGCTGCCCCCTTCATTAAGTTATTTTAAAAGATAAAATTAGAACCAAATGAAAGCTTAGATATCCCTTGAAAGAGTTCACTGTCTCCTCATTGTAAGTTGGGTAGAGCGGCCCATACTCAATGGAAGCAAGCAGCAACCAGGGCATGGGTGGAAAGCACTAGGGGTGGAGAGTGTCTCCAGCAGCCAGCCCAACAGATGCCAGAGCTCGGTGCCCACCCTGCAGCGTCCTCCTCTTTGTTGAGTCCAGCTCCATGGGTGGGAGGCACTGGCCCCACAAGGCCTACCATTCCGGAGTCCGCCTCAAGGAAGGGGTGGTACGCTCTCTGCCAGACCTTCCCTCACCCTCCTGCACGCCGTAGGTCCCTGAACCTACCTTTCTCCCAGCAAGGGGCCTAACCAGGCCATCCTCTCCTCTATGGTTTCTTGACAGACCCCATAAGCCAAGAGCCTTTGGCAGGAAGAGGGGGTGAAGAGCCTCAAGCAGTGTCTCAGACCTACCCAGGCCAGGAGGCATGGGACACACAGGGCCATGGTGACAGTTGGCAGGGAAGGTCCAGATTCCAGGGCCCAGTATAAGAATGACCCAGAAAGGCTTGGGGCCAAAATCAATCCCTTTTTTTTTTTCTTTTGAGACAGAGCCTCAAGCTGTTGCCCTGGGTAGAGTGCTATGGCATCACAGCTCACAGCAACCTCCAACTCCTAGGCTTAAGCAATTCTCTTGCCTCAGCTTCCCAAGTAGCTGGGACTACAGGCACCTGCCACAATGCCCAGCTATTTTTTGCCTTGGGCTTAAGCTATTCTCTTGGGCTTCTTTTGGTTGTAGTTATCATTGTTGTTTGGCAGGCCCAGGCTGGATTCGAACCTACCACGTCCAGTGTATGTGGCCAGCGCCCTAGCCACTTGAGCTACCGGGGCTGAGCCCCAGCTATTTTTTTGTTGTAGGTGTCATTGTTTAGCTGGCCCAGGCTGGGTTTGAACCCACCACCCTCAACGTGCATGTGGCCTACACTGTAACCATTGTGCTCTGGGCACTGAGCCTTTCCTTTTTTTTTTCCTTTCTTGAGACACAATCTTACTCTGTCACCCAGGCTAGAGTACAGTGGTATCACAGTAGCTCACAGAAGCCTCAAACTCCTGAGGTCAAGTGATCCTCCTGTCAACCTCCAGGAGTACAGGGCTCTTGAGTCCTTTTCTTAACTTAGCTTCCCCTGGGTATCCCCAGGTGCTGCTCAGGGGGTCCCTGCAGCCCTGTAAGGAAGAGGCCTTTAGACTATCGTGGCTCACACCCTCACTTTGCAGATAGGGAAACCAAGTCAAACCAGCGTGTTGTATGCCCCAAGGTTCACACCAATGGTGTGACAACAGCCACCAGACTGCAGAGTCCAGGCTCCCATCTGAGGATTCTTGGATGGGTCTGGCACAATTGTAAGAGACTGAGCACCCTGTCAAGAGTTTCTGCAATGCAACTGCCACACGAAGAAACAAGCTCAGAAAAGATGACTTGCTTAGTCATACATGTGCTCTTGTGGCTGGCACTTGAGCCCATCCCTTGCATCCTGTCTGGGAAGCCCAAGTACAGGTAGGCCTCACCTTGCAGAGCTGCTTTTGGCCCTGGCAGCCATCACTGGGCAGGTCTTAGCGAGGACATGTGCCAGAGAGGAGCACATGTGGGCCTAGTGCCCTGGTGACTGTCACAGTGACCCTCAAGTTGCAGCTGCCTGCACCTCACTAGGCCTCCCCTATGCCCACATAGCAGGAAGCACCTTGGGTGACCTCACTGGTGGGCACACAAACCCCTCAAAAAGGCCATAAGTCCACAGGGAGCTGGCTCACGGCCAGACACCAACAAGTGTCCCACTGCTCCAGCAATGGCTGTTTTATTGCAGGGACAGGCCTTCTTGCCCCTCCTTCCTTGGGCAGTCTTGTCCCTAGTCAGCATCTCCTGTCCCAACCCACACACCAGAAGGCACTTATGGGGCCACCGAGCCCTGGAACACTCTCCTGGGAAAGGAAAGGGTGTTCCTGGAACAAGTTCTGGTTTCACTTCTATTTTTTTTTTTTTTTTGAGACAGGAGCCTCCAGCTGTCCCTCTGGGTAGAGCTGTGGCATCACAGCTCACAGCAACCTCCAACTCCTGGGCTCAAGCGAGTCTCCTGCCTCAGCCTCCCGAGTAGCTGGGATCACCAGGCGCCCACCACAACGCCCGGCTATTTTTTGGTTGCAGCTGTCATTGTTGTTTGGCAGGCCCGGGCTGGATTCGAACCCATCACCTTGGGTGTACCTTAGCCACTTGAGCCACAGGCGCCGAGCCCTGGTTTCACTTCTGAGAAGTGTCTTACATCCTGCCTGCTGAAGCTGCTTCCAGGTTTGAAAGTCAAATATAATTGGGTCTCTGCCACCCCCAGCAAAGGAACTGACGCTCCAGAGGATCCACAGTCAGTGTCCCAGAGGATGGTTTTGGGGACCCACACCCCAGAGGGACAAGGGTGGTGTCCGCCCAGAGCAGCCTCAGCCTCTCCCACCCAGGATGCCGCCGCTCTACCACCACTCTGCCCCTGGAGGCCAGGCCCTTGAACTGAGAACTCCTAGGCTTCATGAGTCACATCTGGGAATTGGGGTGTGCAGGCCTTGGGGCGGGGCATGAGAAACTGCCATGAGGCCTATACAGTGCCACCGCCTTTATTCATGGATCTCCAGGCTCCAGAGTCACACAGACACTTGGCTTTCAGAGGGCACAGGGAGAAAAGGGACCCTGGTAACCCTCCTAGCAATCCCCCAAAGAGCCAGGACAGACTCATCAGCACCACCACTTCATGGTCACCTCGGTGCCCTGCCCAAGGGGCTACAGAGCCAGATGCTAGGAGGCCAGGCCTTGCGCTGGGGACCCCTCCAGGGGCTAGGCCACAGGAGCAGCAGCCTCTGCAGAGACTGAAGCTAGGCCAGGGGGCAGGGGGCTGGCCTTGTTCTGTGTCTTGGCCACCTTAAGGACAAAATTAGCCCAATGCCATGAGTCAGGGTCACAAGAAGTACCTTCTTTTCCCTCCTGATCCTGAGGCCAGGGTGGGGCAGAGGTGGGGTGGGGGTAGGGAAAGGAGGAGGCCAGGTAGCTCCACAGATGCAGCCAGGCCAGGAGGAAGGCAGGGCTGGCAGGTCCACAATCCCTAGTGACAGAGGCAGCTTGAGAGGCCCCGGAGAGGAAAGGAGGGGCTTGGAGAGGAGGGGCTGCCCCAGCCATCAATCACATGGTCCTGGGGGCCCAGGTTTGCTGCCTGCTGGGGCAAGGCCCCTCCCCTCCAGGGGTGGCCCACAAAACAGGAGGTAACCAAGGTTAAGTGCACCTTGGTCTTCCAGAGGCGGGGAGGGCTGGGTGCTCTAAGATTTCTTGGTGTCCTGCGTGTTCCGGCGCTTCAGGTCACTCAGGTCGATGGGTTTGAAGGCTGCTGAGGGACAGTGTGGTCAATCATGGTCACGAGGCTCCATCCAGCCCCCACCTTTGGCCCTGGGACCAAGCTGTCTTGGAACAGGAGGCCGGGAAGTGAGCAAGAAGTGGGGCCCTTCCTGCCCCCCAAGGGCACCCCACTCACTCTTCAGGCTGGGGTTAGGGACCTTCTCCACATATTCCTCCACCAGGCCACGCTCACTGCCAGATATCTGGCTCCGCAGGTCTCGCTCCACACCCTGCCAGGCTGAGGGCAAGCAGAGGGTGGATGTGGTTAGAGTCCTGATCTGGGGTCAGTGTCCAGCAGGGTCCCAGCTAGTCACTGTCCAAGCCAGGGAGCATCCATCCTCAGTGTCTGTGCCCCACAATACAGCCTTCCTGCCCTGCCCAGCAGGCCTGTCTCTCCTGCACAAATGACCAGGGCTATGGTCAGAAGCCTCAGGGCAGCCCTGCTTTTTGGGGTCCTCACCCCTGGCATACATCCCCTGCTCCTGGTCACTTCTGCTCCACGCTGTGCCCAAGGCTGGGCATACCTTCTGTCCCCCATCCCTGCCTACCTCTCCCTAGAAATCCCCCAGTGCCAGGGTCAGACTCTAACCACTGCCTCCCTCTTGGGGCTGCCAGTCTCCTGCTTAGCTTCGCCACTATCAGCACCAGGTCTCCCCACTAAACAGGGTCCCCTGGTCAACCCAGACCTCCTGGGCCCCCAGAGGCTATGGAAAGGCTGATTGAGCTCTGCCCTAGAAGGGCCAGGAAGGCAGGCAAGGGGCTCCAGGAAGTTCCCTGGGTTCATAGCAGATGTACCCACCTTCGTAAATGAAGCGTACATTTTCCTCATGGGCTGGGGTGAAGATCTCACTACTGCTGGTGGGAGAGCGGGGACTGCTATTCCTCTTGCCGTTGTAGACAACTCTGGAGACAGGGGAGCTGGGGCGGGGGGCAGCGCATGAGGATAGGGCTAAGGCCCACACCCCACCCCCAGGCAGAGGCTACCCTGTCTGCCTAAGACCCACCTGGTCATTGCTGGGGCGTCTAGTCCCAGTCCTCCGCTGCCAGGTCCCCTCTGCTTCTGAAATGCAAGGCCACACAGGAGTGAGATGGAGAACCATGCTCTGAGGTGGAGGACAGGTGCAAGTGCACCTGCCTCCTCTCTGGAATCTGTGAACAACCCTGTGTCTGTGCTGCCCACTGGAGATCTCCACAGGCAGGGTCCAGCATAGGCAGCTGTGGGCCCTGTGTGACCCCATGCAGGCTAAGGATGCCACAGGGGTAAGAGGTGGAGCTGAGCACAAGCCCATGAGCTTGTCCAGTGTCCTCAGTGACAGTACCTGGACCAGTGCTGCCCAGAGTCCCTTCCTCACACACATCAGGCAGCAGCTCTGTTGACATTCCTGTTTTCAGAGCTGCCAGATTCTGGGGAGCCAGTGGTCCCTGAAGAGCCTAGCTCTGTCCTTGGGGATTACAGGGCTGGGCCTGCTTCTCCTGAGTTGTGCTCTCCTTTCTATGAAATAGGACAAGCTTCCCAATGGTCACACGGGCTCCCCAGCACAGACTCCTAGCCCAGCTCCCTCTCCCCTGGTGTGGATACAAGCCCAAGTCAGTGCCCTGAAGATAGGAGCAGAGCAGGCAGGGTGCCTTGGAACATGGCTTGTTTACCGGTGCACTTTCTGTCCAGGGGAGTCTGCAGCTCTGGGGGAGGAAGTGACCTGTGAGGCTTAGGTTCTGCACTAGTCAGCTGAGGACACACAGCACCAAGGTAAGGAAGCTGGCTACACTGGGCTGGTCCAGAGGGGCACTCGCCAGGCACTAGGGGCAGGAGAGTTCCAGAGAACTATTAGGACAAGCTCCGTCCCTGCCCATTCCTATTTCTGGGGTCCTGGGGCTCACTCTGTTGCCCTCCTAGAGTGCTGTGGTATCAGCCTAGCTAACAGCAACTTCAAACTCCTGGGCTCTCGGGGGGAGGGAGAGCAGAGAGGGGAGGGATGGATGGGTGGAGGAGGGGGCGATTGGAGGGATCACCTCTATGGTTTGTCTTACGAGGGTACAAGTGAATCTTTCTAAAAGTAGAGTATAAACGTCTTAATAACTAAAATTAACATAAAGTCTATGTTAACCAGTTTGATGAAAATATTTCAAATTGAATATGAAAACACCACACTGTACCCCATGATTGCATCAATGTACACAGCTATCATTTAATAAAAAAAAAAAAAAAAAAAAAACAAACTCCTGGGCTCAAAGAGATCCTCTTGCCTCTGCCTCCCCAGTAGCTGGGACTACAAGCACCTGCCATGTAACACCCAGCTAATCTTTCTAGTTTTAGAGACAGGATCCCACTCTTGCTCAGGCTGGTCTCAAACCCCTAAGTTCAGGCAATCCTCCTGCCTCAAGCTTCCCAGAGTTCTGGGATTACAGGGGTGAGCTACCACACTCTGCTTATATAAATGTTTTTGATTCTTTTATTTATCTTTATTCATTAAAAGTGTAACTCTAGGCTCAGCGCCTGTGGCTTAAGTGGCTAAGGCACCAGCCACATACACCTGAGCTGACAAGTTCGAATCCAGCTG